GTGTACGGAGGTTCAGAAGCAGATGTTTGCTACCTTCAAGCTTGTCGGAGATGCACTCCAGTGATGGGAGTCAGTTACTTCCGCAGAGGAGAGGATTTCATTGACCTATGATCAGTTCAGTACTCGCTTCAATGAGAAGTATTTTTCATATGCTACCAGGACATCTATAAAGAGGGAGTTCCTTACTTTAGAGCAGGGGAACATGACAATAGCAAAATATGAGCAGTAGTTTATATGCTTATCTTTATTTGCTCCAGATGAGGTGGATACCGAGGAGAAGAAATGTACTAGTCTTGTTAATGGACTGATGTGGTCTATTACAGGTAGTCCATCCTACATTACTTACGCTCAGGTGGTAGATGCAGCTTTACAACTTTATCAGCTGAATGTGGATTTCAGACAAATCAGGGGTGAGAAGTGGGGTGGCAGAGAGTCTGCTAATTAGCCAGCTGAGAAAGAAAACGACAATGGGAACCAACAAAGCGGAATAGAGTATCTTGTTTACAAAGATGCTTCTTTGCAAGGTCTTAGGTGTGTCTTGATGCAAGAGGAGCGATCAATTTCGTATGGATCTCGTAAGCTTAAGCCTCATGAGCTTAATTATCCGACGTACGATTTGGAGTTGGTAACTGTAGTCTTTGCCTTAAGCATTTGTAGGTACTATCTGTTAGGAGAGTCCTTCAGGTTATTCAGTGATCACAAGAGTTTGCAGTATTTGTTCACTCAACTGGAGCTGAATATGAGACAGCGCAGATGATTAAAATTTGTGAAAGACTATCATTTCTCTATACAGTGCCATCTAGGGAAAACGAATGTGGTGGCAGATGCACTCAGTCGCCGACCCTATGCTAACCTTTCTGCATTATTCACCACTGAGTGAAATGCTTTGAAGACGGTTGATGAGTTGTCCGACGTTTTCATAGCATATGTGGTAGTCATACCTTCTATCATTCATAAGGTTCTGAAGGCACAACTCACGGATCAGCAGTACATTGATAAGATTGCATAATTAGCTTCTGGGGAAGTTACATTCTATCATGTTGGGACAGATGGAGGCTTAAGGTACAAGGGACGTTTAGTGGTACCTTCTGCTGACGATTTGAGGAAGGATGTGATGACTGAGACTCATCATTCTGAGTTTTCTGTTCATCCAGGAGAGGACAAGATGTATCAGGATATAAAGCGGCAGTTTTGGTGGGCAAGGATGAAGAAGGACATTGCTAGGGATGAAAATAATGTATAAGGTTAATTGAGACTTAAAACAGAAGCCCTAGGACCCTTAACGGAGGAAGACGGAGTCGTTGGAGCCGAAGAAGACGAAGGGTAGCAGGGTCACATCGACCAGTTTACATGAACCGATTGACGTCTAGGGTTACACATCGACCGGATTAGGAGAACTGGTCAACGTTTGGGGCCTTCACGTCGACCGGTTTAAGTAAACCGGTCGACGCCTAGGGGATTCATGTCCACTAGTTACCGATCGACGCCTGGAGGAAACACATCGACCGGTTCCTATAACCATCGACTGTGTTGGTCGAGTGTAGGATTTTTGGCATGGGGGTTCGTACCTAGGGATGGTTAGGTTTGTTTAAATGATTTTTAATGAATTTATTTGACCCGACAATTAACTAGAATGCATAATATACAAGGTTTGGAATATAATTAACATAAAGGTTAATTTATGGATAATTGTTTTAAACTGTTTAAATTAATTAATTAGAATTAAATAGTTTAATTATGTTATGAATGTTTAAACAATCTATTTGAGATGCCGGATAATTTTATACAATAAATTATATGCATGCTACTTAGATTTATTATCATTGCTTAATTATTTACAAGGATTGTATACATGCGTTATATCATGTTTATGTTGGAGCAATAGATGTATTTATATTTGTCTGCATCATTGTATAGCTTTAAATGCACCAGTATGGGATGGTAGCATTTTAGGGACGGATTAACGAAACAGTTAAATCCTACATACTCTAAATTATTTAAGGGAACGGATTAGCTGAAGCTAAGTCCCACTTATTCATGTCAGGTCGTTGTATAAATTGGATGGCATAATGAATATTTATTTTAAAGTTTTAGATAGGAAGGATTTTGTATATATTATTATATACCATGATATGAGCTTGAGTCTCAGGATCAGTGGTTAGAGCGCATATATTGCCAAGGATGTGTAGCTAGATATAGTGTAGTTGTGTGCCCTGGTAGGTCTAGGTACTCATGCCCACTATTTGTGCGTTATGCATGTTGCCTACTATTCAGGTTGAGACAACCCTATAATTTAGTGAGATTTTTTTAGTGTGTATTTATATATATATACGGACTATTAGATATTGTTGAGTTGACTAGGATCTATACGTTTATCGGATCACTGCTTGGATTGTAGTAGAATAGAACTTGTTCGTGGGCCTAACCCACTATTATTTTTCAAGTGTGCATCGGATAATATCGAAAAATGTCCCTATGAGTTTTGTTATTAGCCTTTATATATATATATAGGTGCATATACAAGCCAAGAGTTGTGCCTCTCTTGAGCCCAAATCCTGTCTCCCTTGGTGAATAAGTCGTGGTCAGGAAGAAACTAGTCTTTTTTAGAATGACTCAGTTATATGAATTTTATATTTTTATTATGCAATATTTTTATTATGAATTATTTATTATTATTATTTTACCTTTGGAAAAAAAAAAATTTGTTTCATCCAATGGGTACTAAATATAGTTCTGCATACGTGGTTGAAATAAAATATTAGAGTACATAAAATGACTTTTTAAAACATGAACTCATTAAATCAAATTAACAATGACCCTTTTTTAATTTAATTTAATTTTTTTTGATATCACCCCTAATGCGACAAGGAAACAAGACAAATTGCAAGTCCACTTATAGGAAATGGAGAATCTGTAGGAGGCCCACATCAAGTTGTTTTCAAGAGAGCTTATTTTATTCTATGTAGTGTCAACTTCCAATTTTTATATAATTTTTTTTTTTTTTGGGAAGTTTCTAGTTTTAATGTATGACCTAGTTTAGCTATATATGAAAAAAGGTTTTATTGTAAAATTACTAGCATGAAAAGTGCTTTAAGCACTATTTTTCTACACAAAGAAAAAAAAAATGTACTTTTGACATAAGAGTGCTTTACGTCATTATTATATATATATATATATATGATTGTGACCGATAATAGGGTATATAATCTTCTATAAATTCTTAAAAGTCCAGTGCGAACAAAGATCTATCGTCAGTTGAGCGATTAAAATACTAAAGTATTCTTATGTATTGTGATACTCCTTAAATCTGAAACATGAATTGATCAAGCCCAAGTCCAAACTCAAGAAAAATATCAAACAATTAATATTTAAACATGCATTTGAATACAAGATGAAATATAAAAATAAAATAAATAAGCTGAAAGAAAACTAAAATAATAAAATCCTTGAATTAATAAAATAATCCTCCATAAAATAATTCTATAAAATTCTCCAATACTAAATCCAATCTTCTGATATCATTACAACTCGAGAATCTATCATGTGTACCCCTAACAAAACCAACTAAAATAAAACTGAAAAGAAAATGACATAGATAGAACCTTACGTTAAGTCAGTAGAGTGATGATGATTGTCTCTGCTCAGCACACTATATATTTTTGTTTATCTTGAATATCCAACCTCCTCCAAAAGAAATAGAAAGTTTATACTAACATTTAAGTTAGAGCTTATTAGAAAAACAGTTTGGAAATGTTAAAGTGTATTGATTAGTAAGTATTTTGATGGACTAATTCACTTTATATATGGATAAAACATGCACCTAAATGATGCTTTAGGAAAGCATTTTTGGCTTTATTGTAACGTTAAGATTTTATATAATAATTAATTTGCAATACTTTGTTCTTATAACCCATAGACCATTCATTAATTTGAGAAATATAAAAGCATGCATTAATTTTGTGCCATTCAATATATAGAAGACAAACTTAGCACAAATACCATAAATTATTTATTGATAATTACTATGTGCATGCATCCGACCTAGTAAACGGTGTGTATCTCACATGTCTCTCTCCACACTGGGGGTGGCAAGGTTTGAATCATTATTTCTCACCTGATATATATATATATATATATATATATATATTTTGGGGAGTTAAGGTAAATGTATATATAAAAAAACAAAGCTGTGTAGTCATTTCAAAAACTATTAGAGACTGACTAGTGTAATAAGAACCTCTTAATATGTTACATTTACCTTAACTCCCCAAAAAACACCTCTTAATTGATAAAACGTTACCACCATGCAACAGACATAGTTGTCTATCATATCACAATTCCTATAATTTATGTATTTCATGTATCATTTCCATCTTAGAATGGATCCAATGGGTCTACCATAGAAAGGAATTTCCAATCTCAATACAAGTTTTAACATCTCTAACAATAGATGAGGCTTGTGCTAGCTCAAATTCGGCCCAGTCCAACTAATCGTTCAAATCCAATATGCAGTCATGTTGGAAAAGCCAACACCCCGAGATCATAAGTAATTGTGTCATCATTTAGACACATAAGTAATTGTGTCAGAAATGTGCAAACTTTATTCGACTTTTATTCGCTTACGTGCCCAATAACAATTGGCCGAAATCAATAGTCCCAGGCTAAGTCACAAAAAACGGGTGGAGGAGTGTGAAAGAAGCAAAAATTTAAGTCAAGTGAGAGAAAACGACAACAAGAGCGTGGACGGAAAGCAAGAGCGGGAGTGGCGCAGAGCGGCACCTGTTTAAAAGAATTATATGGACTTGGGTCCCGGGACCATCGATAAATTTCTCACCTACTTTATCTCAAGTACAAAACATACATATCTAGATGAGCAAGGCCAGGCCTTCACACAAACACAGCACTGACTCCTCACATCACATATAAGAAGTGCCGGCCTCTTAGAGTAAACGACAAATCCCTTTGAACATTAAAGAGAATCTTTGAGCAATAGTAGTATGAAAGTACCAATAATGGCATATCAGATTGATCTGTGAAACCAACAAGGATCCTTCCCCTACATGTCAAATTAGATATATGTCGCAGGAAATATTAGGTCAAACATTATAGCTGTGATTAGTAAACAAGTCCAAACACCAAATGGCTAAAAAAGTATTTGGCTACACTATATTTCAAGAGAATTTCCTAAAGAGAACACATCTAAAGAGAGCTTTCAAGAAATTAACGAGAAGAAAACATTCAATCAAACCGTATCTCTATGGATTCTCAAGCCGCTACTTTCTCCTGTTTCGCACTTTGCTGCACCGATTCTGGAGGTGTTCACCACAAGTTCAGCAAATCTATACAAACACAACTTTCATCATCCTGCTTTGCAATAAAATTAGCTATGTTACCCCACCACCATCAACAACATAAACATTTTACGCAACCCGGTCTCCAACACTCTGGACATCTTGGATGCCATTTTGGGCATTTCAGCCGGCAGATACATTTTATGCAGCAGCAAGGTGGTTTCAAACATTCCGGACAGCAGCCAGTTTTCAAACATTCTGGACATCTGGGTAGCCGTAATTTAATCTTACAGCACCGAAATTTAATCCTAAAGCAACGGAATTTAATCCTACAGCACCTCTTTTTACTACTTGCGTTGGTGATATTAGACCTCTTGTGTAGTCTGAGAGTTTGCCGGATCTTTTTGAGGCGTGTTTCTGTTGTTATGTTCTCCATTTCCTGGATGAACCTGCAAAGATGGCGGATATAATCGGGATACAGCTCCAAATTGCAATGTCCACCTCCTTTAATCCATAAGGGCTCATATGGATCCCTAGCCATTTTCCACAATCCATTACCATGTAACCAATTTACAACATCATCTTCAGTACCCTGTAAATGTTTGATCAAAACCCAATTAAAAAAATTAATTACAGCAGAACTTAAAAGAGAAATAAATTCAACAGAATTGTCCACCAAACTCATAGGAAGAAATCCAGGACAACAATATGAAACAACATTGAAAACACAGGGAAGCTTGTGGCAATACAATTAGTGGATTCTCAATTTCAAGCCTCAAAAGAGACGCACACGTTTTCTAATATCTGGGAGGGTGAGAAAGGAGGGGACGATCTTCATATGAGTTTTTAGGTGTGTTATGTTGCATGTTATGTTGCATGCTTGTGTGACCATTCAAATGGCCATCACATAGCAAAAGGCAACCATTCAAAACCTTCACAGGAAAGTGATGTCAGCTGGATAAATTTATTAAAAATTTAATCTATCATTGATATCAGTTAGTACCAAAACTCCCATATAAACCACTAAGAATCATATCAATTGTAGACTACCCTATCCATCAAACATGTGAATGATAGCAATGAATTTGATGTGTTCCGATAAAAAGCCTTGTTTCAAGTTTTTGTCCATTCTTCTAGAAAAGCAATATCTGGTACAAATATACAAATCCAGAGGTTGAAACCAAGAGAAAAGGCTATTCAATCTACAAATATCTTCAGTGTTTATGTAAGAGGCATGAGTTTGTTAATACGCAACAACATCATGAGTCTCCAGAGAGCTTCTAGATATTCAATACAACCTACTAGGTGAAGGATATGTTGATTGGCCACAAAAGGTAATGAATTGGTGTGAAAATGAAACAAAAAGAGTTTAGACTTGGAATAAGAAGAGAACCTGCCTATGTGAATGCCTTCAATTCTATATTAAAAGGAAACAACTTCTTTAGAGATCAGCAAATATACTCGCACATAATCTAATTCAATCAATATAACCTAACCAAATCAAGAACGTAATTATGATCCTTACTCTCAATATTCCCAGTCAACCAATGAGGTGACAAACATCAGAAAGCCGCATGAATCAAACCTTTTTTTTTTCCATAATTAATCAAACCATTATTATGGTTAAAAGGATCATTATCCAGTGTGGTCCCGTTAATTGAGGGTGCCAGGTGGGGCACATTATATACAAACCTAACATTTGGAATTATTTGCACAAAGTGGCTGCTCTAAGGATTCGAACCGCGTCCTTACACTGACAACCAGAGCTACCACTGCACCAAGCAATAGCAAGCCAGGATGGAGACTAACACGGCGAACGTCACAAGTGATGGCAAAAACAGCAGTTCAGGTGGCTTGCATGCTGATGTCATAATAGATTGTATGATTGCATATCGCTGACAAATCTAAAACAGCTAATGAACGACGATATAAGAATCCCAGACACATATCAGACTGGTTCAAACAAGATTTCAACAACTGGTTGTTGACAACCAATAGATGAAATGAAAACAAAAATTAGGACATCACATATGGAAAACCATACACCATCACAAATCAGCGAGGAGGATCTGCTTGGCTGGAATAGAGTGTGGCTTCTTTTGGAGGAATAGGAAGGGAAGGTATTACACATGATATGATGAAAGTTCCAAATAGACTGGGTCAGTTGGAAGTTGGGGCTGTTATGTAGAGGTGAAAGAGAGATTAGCAGCATCGAGGTTAGCATATCCTCCGCCCGAGGTAACAGCCTTGTCTTGTCCAAGGTCAGTTTTCAAGCCTAAGAGATCAAGGTCTACCTAATGTTTCTTAGGCTCTTTAAGAGGGTCCTAAGCATGCTAGAAGGTTCCCCAGGCCTTACGTTTCAGGACCCTAGTGAATGTGAAGTAGAGGTCTATTTAGAGGGCATGAGTAAGGATAAAGACAATGCCCAATGCTGATGTGAGGGTTATCTATGATGCACAAGTTAGTTCCATCTTCCACCTAGTCTAATTTGCTGATGTGAGGGTTATCCATGAACCGGAGGTATACGTTAATGAGAATTAATAAGGGAGATTCATGGATGGATTCCATGATAGCCTTCAATAATTAAATGTTGCTCATGATCAACATATTTTTTCCTTTTGTGGGAGAGGCCAAAGAAGTTATCTCCATTGTTTTCCCCTTAATATCCCTTGCAATGAATAATTCCTATTTGTAGGATGAACAAATAAAACATGAGTAAGATATGAGACAAGAACATTGAACTTCATTAATAATTTCTACGAATCCCATGAACAGCTTTCATGGGAGTCATGGGATTCTCAGATGAATAAAAAGGAAACCAACTTGCAAACTTTAAGAGTTCATTGAAGAGTGAAGTAACTTTTAGACAAGAAATCTATTATTATTGAGAAATCACTTCCAGAAAGGGAGGTATGGTGGATGTTGTCCTCTACAATCTTCATTTGGGAAACTTTCTTTTAATGAGAGATCCCCCTTCAACCTTGTACTTTATGTGGTCAGATGTGAATCTTTTCAATTCCTCCTGTCCCTCCTCCTCCAGGAGATACATGTTCCCTTTGCGTGTGTGTATGTGTGTGTTTATCCAGAGCATCCTAAGGGCTTATAGGCTCTACCTGGATCCCCAATTTTAATGAGGTTGGGAATTGGGATCGATCATATATCAAAGTAAAAATAACCAATATGCACAATTAAATCATATTAAGGCACCGAGGAACTAGGAACACCATTTTTTTATGTACTACTCGTTCTTCAAGAGAATAGGTTGTATGTGTTTATTTTCAGTAGTTTCTAAGGTTTTAATAGTAAAATCTGAGCACATGCACTACATTAGTAAAAAACGGAAGAAGTACCCAAGAAGTACGAAAGCTTGATACTGTTACGACAAAAACCAAGCAACAATTACGAAACACAACAGAAAAATAAACACACCAAGCAAATAACAAAGATTTATACGTGGTATGGCAAAGCTTATGTCCACAGCAGAGATCCGGCGAAAGTCTTCATTGTGTGTAAAATAGGAGATTACAAGTTTCAACCCCACTCTCAATATTGTACGAATTTCAGTCTCTCTTCCACCCACTCCAAACCCTAAACGCCCTTATATATTGAGCTACAAGATAGTACTAATTAGGGTCCACGACACGAGTAAAAAACGGGTCAAAATTTTGGTAGGTCTGGGCCCACACAAAGCTCATCAAACGGCTCATCGGGTCGTAAGCGGGTCGCAACGTGACTCGGCACCAATCGGGCCACAACATCACAAATACATATTTTGAGGTAACATGAGGGTTACTAAAGAAGAAGATTCTCACAGAATCATAATATACAATATTATGGATAAGAAATAAGCACTCAGAATTTGTTGCTTCTTTAAAACCTACCCAAGATCTCAAACAAAAAAAATATGCAATGGCAACAAAAGAAACAAGATGGATAAAAAGACAAGATTTATGTGGTTTGACAAATTGCCTACGTCCACAAGCGTAGAACGACTAACCTTTATTCAAAATAAGAAAGTTTTACCTTCCCTCTCTCTCTTTCTCCACCCTTCTCTTCAATCACTAAAACATACATAGAGAGAAATTCACCGCCTTCACGATTCAATGCCACAAGCCCATCACACATTCTTATTTGCCAGGATGCACTCACCTTCACTCGTTAATGCACTACCACTCATTTTGCTTTTCTTTTCTTCATGCACGATGTCACTGCACACACTTCACTGCCATATATAATATACATGAGAGTATATATATATATCACACAACAATAATCACTTTAACCAATGAATTTGAGCCAACTCTACAAATCTCCATCTTGACTAAAGATCATCAATTTAATTTTTTCTTTGCTTGGGAAACGATCTCACACCACCGAACTAATATTTCTTTAATTTTGGAACGAAGGTTTGTGCTGTTGTGATTGCCCAGACTTTCTCCTTCACTTTTCGCTCCTAATCCTCCACCACTCTAGTTAATCTCAAAACGGGCTTACATTTTGTCTTAAACAAGCAGAATCAAGTATCCACTCTTTTGCTTCTATCTCTCTATCAATCATTGAAAGGAATTCAAGAACATCCTTTTTTGCATTGGTAGGCTTGGGGCTTGGACACATCAGCAATACTGGACTCACTCACTTTATTTTTAGGACAATTATGTACCATGTCCTTTTGTCCACAAAAGTAACACCCCGCTCCATGATTGGCTTCCAATTTCTTGAAGCAAGAGCTGTACTCCTTTCGAAGAAAAGAAGGCATGGACTTGCATGACCATCTTGATGGTTCAAGAAGATTATTAATGGCTTATCCAACGTCGGTGTTAAACTAAGTGGCAAGGATAAAATTTTTATCAAGATATTTGTAGCGTTGGTTCAAATTCATTGGTTAAAGTGATTATTATTTTATAATATATATATATGTGTGTGAGTGGTGCGTATGTTATATATATATATAAATCTATATATAGTAGTGAAGTGTGTGTAGTATGTGACATAAATGAAGAAAAGAAAAGCAAAATGAGTGTTAGTGCATTAATGAGTGTCGTTGCAATGAATGAGAAAGGAAAAGTGAAGGTGAGTGCATCTCAGAAAAAAAGAGTGTGTGATGGGTTTGCGGCGCCAAAGTGTGAAGGCGCTAGGCGGTAAATTTCTCTATATATGTGTGCGAGTGATTGAAGAGAAGCATGGAGAAAAGAAAGAAAGAGATTGTATATTTGTTGTGTGAGATCTTGGGGGGATTAGTTCCTAACAAAGAATTTATACCATCTTTTTCTTTGAGAAGAAGTTATCCAAGATCAATAAGAAGAAGAAATATAAGTCCAAATTGAGTTCTTTTCTTTCTTTTTTCCCCCTTTTTCGCAGAAAGGACTTTGATGTAGTAAAACTTTAGTAACTATAATTTGTTGATTTTTTGGATTTCATTTTTGTATATTTCATTTATGAGTATAGATTTAATTCTTATTTAGTAGTTTTCCAGGTTCTATTAGTCAATTATTCTAATTGGCCATAATACTAGTTAGGATGAATTTTACAATATGGAAAATTCTACAATTAAGGCAACTTTATGTAATTTTTTATGAACTGTCAAAGTTTTTGGCGCGATGGTGAATAAATATCAAGATACGCAGATGACCATTAAATAATGATAATAGGAGTGAAGCATCAAATTTTCATATCGAAATTCATTTAAACCAGGTCCACACTCCAATCATACTTTAAACTTCTTTATGTTTGAGCAATTTGACCAAGCTAAACTGTCATCTTTCCGTGACAACTATGATATCATTTTAACGTATTTTGATAGATCCTTTTTTAGTACATCATTTCAATATGGGCTACATAATTTTTTTATTGAGTAACATTTCACTTAAAGGAGCAGCACTCCGAAGGAGATATACAAAGAAGCAGAAAACAACCCACTATAATTTTCAAACTATCAACAAAATCTCCTCAGATTTACAATTCATCAACCCAAAAGAATATAGAACTCAATATATTGTATTTAAGAGGCCAAATAGGAGTCTCCTCTCCATCAAAGGATCTCCTATTTCCCTCGCACCACAAGCCCCACAATAAATTTGGGCTACATAATGGTGTGGCACATGCATTTTTTTGTGCTCCAAGTATGAAAACCAGGAGTACAGCCCGTAGCTTCATGCTTTCATGGTGTATTGACTCCAAGAAAATTACTACTTGTGACTTAAGGTTTTACAAATCTAAAAGTAGGCTTTATCATGGAAAATTGGGTTGAAATTTTTTTTTTTTTTAAGTAAAATTTCAAAATATCTCTTCTCCTTCCGGACTCGAAAGGAATACTAGTATATTTTAGGGGTTTCAACAGATGGAATACAGTGGCTTTCTCTTTGATTGCATTTCAAGATTTATCAGCCTCACCCTCCTGACCCATATACTGTCAAGTGTCCAGTAACAACCCAAAGAATCTATTGATTTGCTCAAAATCATGATTGCTCAAAATGAACTTACAGATAAAGAGGCAGCAAAAAGAAAGATCATAGCCCACAATTTGAGCTTTGTTGCAACTTGGGAGCTAAGTTCACACTGGAAAATTGACGATGCTAATTGCTTTAATGCTTTCAACGGTGTTATTCTTAATCATCACAAAATATCAAGAATATTTGTGACATATTGAATGAACCAAAGACTCTTTAAATTTGCTAGAAAGCATGATGCTTTAAAATGAAGTTGAAGATAAAGAAGCAGTGGAAAAGAAGGACAGGTAGCCTACCATTTGAGCTTGATTGCAAGTTGCGAGTTAAGTTCACAACAAAAGAAGGGAATGTTGATTATCTTGATCCCACTTGAAGGTTTTATACTTGATTGTCGAATATCAACAATATTGGCAACATATTGAACAATATATTGAAGATTGAGGGATTGCAGATTTGCAATATGATATTGCTACTTAGTTTTGGTAGTGCAAAACATTGCCCCTATAGTTTATATATATTATGTATCCAACAATATAACTTAGCAGATAAATTTTGTTTTCTTTGCACTCAAAATTCAAATTTTCTTGTAAAAAACGCACATTCTTCTCCAAGGCATTGCTACTTAGTTTTGGTAGCACAAAACATTGCCCCTATAGTTTATATATATTATGTATCCAACAATATATCTTAGCAGATAAATTTTGTTTTCGTTGCACTCGAAATTCAAATTTTCTTGTAAAAAATGCACATTTTTCTCCAAGGCATGCGTCGAAGAAAATTATGTATGTATCTAATGCAAGACCCAATCGACAATCTAAGGCTATGACATGAGCACAGGCCAAAAGACCTACAGGACCACATCCACATTATGTTGTTTAAGATATCTCAATACATAAGATAGGTTCCTGCTTGTTTTGAACTTCTAAGCCTTTTTCATGACTATTTGTAACCGTTTCTCCTTTCCCTCCACACCAAGGAAACTTATGATTCTTTGTTTTCGTCTTTCGTAGAATTCCTTGCTATAGTTCTTTTATTTCTCTGGTAAGAGATCATTTATAAACTTCTGATTCTTTGTGCTATACCCACAAATAGCACAAATAGAAGCCTGGAGTCTCTTCTTCCTTTCTTTTTTCTTTTAATTTTTCCTTCTTTCTTCCCTTCTCTTCCATCAACCATGGCCACTCTACATTTTTCTGGGGACACCTTTATATTGCCAAGAGCTCATATTATCTACCCATTTAAACAATTCTTACAGACCATAAATTAATTTGAAGTACAATAACATAAAGGTGACTTTTAGTTCACTTGATTTACTTGATGGGCCCAACCACATGGTAAATCCTGACTATTTAGACATTGATCATCACATGAGCTTGTCACTAATTATGCACAATGGCAAAATGGGCAAGAATTTTAACATTGAATCAAGTAATACATGATAACATTGGCTCAATTTCCACCAAAAATTTCTTTAAATCCACAATTGCATTTGCATTTTAAAAACAACTATCATATATGGCAAAATACCTGGTTTTAACATCCTTATGCCCAAAGAACACGGTCAAGTTTCCAATGACCAGCTGCAAAGAGAATCCAAATGGGAGCACAACCATCCAAATGAGTGCAGCACTTGTAAATCCACTGATCGAACCCCTTCACTTCTTCACCAAAAGATGATATCGCACTACACTTTAAGACAACTACCCACCTTCAATTGCCTCGGACCCTAAAAATCGACAAAGCCTTTTCCCAATCTATTTGGGATCGATTCCACTCAAAAACCAATAAAACTTCCTCAAGCCACATGCTATTATATGTTTCCTTACCATGTTACCCATTTAAGTTTTGTCTGTCCCCTTCCCTAGCATTACTCTTAAAATGGACCACATCATTCTTTTCATTGCTGCAGTTATTGGTCTTTGTTGCACTTGGCCAAACCATCTTAAAGGATTTTCTCTCATTTTATCTCCAACAGGGTGTTACTTCAGCAATCTCAGAATGCGTGTTCATTTCTAATTTTCAATTTCTTGTCTCACCATACATCCATCTCAACGGTCACAAAAGTCCATATCTCCAGCCTAATTTTGTTCACCAACCTGTGATCCTCTCTACATAAGGTTCAAGCTGCTTACTCCTGGGGTGCCATGCAGCCATCTTATGGGATACATAGTGGGACTAAGACTAAAATTTTTTCTCCTCATCAGCAAAGTGGAAAGTAGAACTGCATTATAATGAAACTATTACTTGTCTTTCTTTTTTTGACAGGAGAGTCCGGCATTTTTATCTATACCATTGTCCCCAGCAACTAAGCCAAGCCACTGCTAATGTTTTGCCATGGAGCAGATTGCCAGATTTAGTAAGTATGTGACAGGAGGAGATATATTTTTTCCTTGAATAGTTTCAGGGTTAATTATTCATTCATGGTGCAAAAGGTAATAGCTACTGCCACATGGAAAATCACCAGAACACACAAATTTGTTAAAATCTACGTATCATCATGTATCCATACATGTAAGGTGGAGAGAATAATTGATCATACAACATTACCAAAAGAAAAAAACACCAACTGATAAACAATCGATATCTGCATCTTTTAGGAACTTAGGGTCTTTCATTTACATCCCCTCATTAACATAGTTGCACCTGCCATGCCATGAGTCAGATTAAAACTATTGTCTCATTTCCCATTAGATATGCCAAAAGCTTAAGTTGTTGAATAGGATGTAACTTTAAAATTCATATTATCGACACGCTTCCTCACATGTAGCTGAACTCCATTCTGCTAGAGAGCCATACATGTTCACTTTTATACTTATCAAGTTGGCAGTGATATTCAAGTCTACAACTTTGCCTACTTTAATGCCATGTTAACAAGTACAACTAACCAATTCAACAGCTTAGCTGTTAGAAACCAGTGGAACTTGAATATTTATGACGTAAACTAGAATGCTAAGGCATCCAACACATATAAGCTTCTTCACTTCCTCGTCGTCATCAATAATTTTAATGAGCCGCAAGAAAGGTAATTGATTAGAAAAGTTAGGAGCATTCAATTGGAGTGATTTGTGGGGAAGGAAGAAGTAAACCACTTGTTAGCATATCCTGCTAAACAATGGAAAGATGCAAGCATTAATGAAATGATACAATAAAATCAAGTCTTTTGAAATGGAAGGAGAGCAAAAACAATTTATTTTTCCTTCAATGAAAGTTTTTTCAATAATAGAGCAAATATTTAATGTATATGCTTCAAGCTTTTAGTTTATAATCAACCAAATATAAGAAGGTAAGTCAAATTATTGGAAAATATGAGCACAAAATTGCTAAAGGTATTAAGAAGTACTTACATGTATCACTAGCACAGGGCACTTGACCTTCCGAATTTTGTCAACATTCTGCATTAACTAGAACAATTACTAGCTTGAAATGAAACAAAAAAGCACAAACCTAAGCATAGGATACACAATTAGGTAATCAGTCATTGTGAGAAGATAAATATTGTCTACAATATACCAACGAAGTATATCAGTATGCCAGTCTACACCATACACAAGGCAGAATATACACTTAGGTTGCTTGTCCAGCAGGAACTAACCACATTTATTTCTAGTTTTTTTTTGGTCCCTTCAAAACGCATGTAATTTTGAGACTCACACATTTGCTAATTTTCTAAACAAAATTTGCATGGCTAAATTATTTCATCCTATTTGTTCCCCTAACAGCCCCAAGAAGCCAAAAGTTCAAACCCATCTACTTATCAGAATTGAAAATCTCTCTCATTTACCAACGGCCGATTGGCCCGAGAGGTATTACCTCTCCTTCCAACAGAGAAGGAGATGACTTGCAACTAATATGCCATTTTGCAGATTGTTTCCAAAATAAAACAGCAATATATACCTCAGATAACAAACAAAATTAGACAAGAGAGGCTACTTACCTTATAAATATCAAAACAAAGTGTGAAATTCACATGGCAGACCACACGAAGACCAGAAAGTATGGCACTATGTAGAACTACACCTCTCAACCTTGGTAATTGAGCTGCTAAGTGCAGGGTCGGTCCACTTCCCACCGACTGTCCGTATAGAATTAAGTCCTCCTGGCTAACTCCATATTCTGTCTCGAGGCACTCATATACTGCCTCTATGTCCGCATATGTATCAAATTCACTCGGCTAGATTACATCAAAATGAAACACACTTCAAGCAATCAATACTATGAGACAGTAAGCTTTTTCTGGAAAAAGAAATGTAACCCAAAGAACTAAGCTGGAAGAAGTATTGCAGCTGGTAAGCCTTTTTAGATTGTCAAGTCAACAAGGAACAGGAAATCCACAATTGTCATGGACCAAACGAGGAACTTTTTCAAAGCAAAACATCTATTTGATTAGATAATTCAATATTAGAGATATCCATTTAAAGAGTTGTTTCTTCTAGATAGTCTGCAACTATGGTTCACCCAAACAATTATACAAAAGTTATAATAATTAAAAATTCCCAAATTAGAGATATAAGACTTCCAAATAGAGCAAGGATCAAATACTGTGTCACGTCCCACATCAGATAGGAACAAGGTGAGTTATGGCCCCCTAATAGCTTATGCTATTGCGTCGGATGGCGAGTGTCATAGATATCAGAACAAACCTAGTCTCTTATTTCCCTATTCGGGTCCTGTCGGATAGGAACAAAGGTAGGTTCTGGACTTATAAGTGAGATAAGCGGCACCACCCACTAGCACCCTTTTGGATTGGGTGGCAAGCCCCTGGCCCCTAACAATAGGCCCTCTTTTTCCCTCGTACTAAAAAATTGCCACACAAGTGAACAGAGTAGCTAGTAAAATGAAGCTGCAGATTTTAATCTAATTACAGTCTACCTTGCCGGTAGAGGCTCCATAGCCGGAATAGTCATATCTGCACAATGAAATTGAGATAAAGAATATCAAAAATGATACCTGAATAAAGCCTTATAGGGCAGAAGCAGGAAATAATGGAATTGTACCAACAACTAGGGAAGGGTAAGACTAATAAAAAGCTAATGAATGGCATATACAAATTGGGAGCCCACTGGCGAACAAAGAAAAAACAATTGCAAGAAACAATTGAAAGAAAATTAAAAACCAAGGACACCGTCAATCTAATCATCTCACAGAGCAAAATTGTCAAAGAATAACTCGCCCAAAAACAGAAAAAATGGAAGAAAAAAAAATTTGTTGAAGAATAGATAACTTTCAAGAAATTACAAAAACTCTCAGATTCAGAAGAAGTTGAAATGGTTTAATTTTTTTTTTTTTTTTTTTTTTTTTTTTCCAAGATCTGACCTTCAGAAACACTGCATCTGAAATGACAATGAAAAAGCAAATCGGCCAAAAACAGTAGCAAATGGGAAAATACAAAAAAAAAAATCTCACAACGGCCCAAAGGCACATTCCCCAAAGAGAGAGCACGCTCAGCAATGTGCCTCTACCCAAACATAACAGTAAAAAATCACTTTATAAACAAAGCATGACGAAAATGAAAAGCATGAAAAGGTAACAAAGACAGACTGGTAATAAGAACAAGAGAACCCCAAAACCAGTCTACTTTACTTTTACTTTTTTATTGCTGAAAATGAGAACTCATTAGCCACTGAATACCTAGAACAAAAAGTCATTAGCCATAAACCTAAAATTTACACTTAAGAAAATCGTAGATCTATGCCCAAACATAAACATGCACAAAAATAGTAAAACTGTTTTTTTTTTTTTTTTAATTAAAATTAATAAAATCTATCATAAACCCAAATAACCCTCACATTCATTTTTTGACAGACCTGAAAAAATCCCAGAAGGAAGAGAACCAAAGAGTGTAAAGAGAGAAACCCAGAAAACAAGATAACATGCAATCAACCCTCTACGGAGAAAGGGGGAAAGTATGAGATTTTACTAGCCCCATAGATTAGATAAAAATGTAGAGAGAGACCCACCATTGAGACAAGTCAGAAGTCACTATATTTATGAGATTGACTATATCTAGAACAAAGACCAAGCCAAAAATCAAAATAAAATCACCAACCCACTTGAGATTAGATAGGTAGATAGTTACACAAGGAGAGAGAAAACCCAAAACATATAGAGAGAGAGAGGAGAGAGAGAGGAGGGGTTAGAACTGAAAATTGAGAAGATCAGAGCAAAAACACCGACCGACTGAGATTGACTATATCTAGAACCACGACCACGCCAAAAATAAAAATAAAATCGCAAACCCAGTTGAGATTAGAAAGATATAGCTACAGAAGGAGAGAGAAAGTGAGAGAAAATGGATTGCAGGTGAAAATTAAGAAGATCAGAACAAAAAACACATACCCAATAAGATTGACTCTGAGATTAGCCTTGAGCTGAAGGAAGAGGTCGTAGAGCTGACCCAGATCAGCAGCATTGCCGTGAGAGTAAAGCAGGGTGAGGCGAGCATATGGGTTTCTCAGATAGAACGCAACGATCTTGTTGCCCCTCTTGGTGTCGAGCAACAGGACATCGAGGGAATTGTCGTCGGCGCTCGACAGCGGCACCGACAGCGCCGTCGAGACCGCCACGAGCTTGCCGTCGCCGCGCTTCTTGACCTCGTACGTCGGCGGCGACGGCGGAAAGAAGGCGAATTTCGCCGCCAGTTGAGAGACGAGACACCCCATTCACCACCCCGAGAAGGCCTCCGGAGACCCAACTCATGAATGCATGTGTGTGTCTATATATATATATCTACAGATAGAGACAGAGCGCTTTTCACTGTGTGTGTTTTAGAGAGAGAAACTTCGGTAACAGAGTAGGTGTTGAAATGGGGAATAAGCTTTTAAGGGTTTGGAGAAAGAGAGTTGTAGAAGTTGGCAAGAGGTAAGTGTTTTTCTTTAGGGGTTTGGTCTCTGGTTGTCTATCTTAATCTGTGAAAGGTCATCTTAGTCATGTCTATGTGTGTGTTTTTTGTGTGTGCAGGTGGTGGTGTGGTGTTGTGTAGTGTGAGGGTGGCAAGGTGGAGAGAGAAAAAGAGGAGAGAGAGAGAACAGTGGGGAGAGGTGTGTGGACTGTGGAGTTTGGTCAGTGCCTTAACTTTCAAATACTGATAATGGAATAGTTTCATTGACGCCATTTGAAGAGTGATGTGAAGTTTTTTCATTTATTATTTTTATTTTGGAAGGCGATATTGACAATTCAATTTCCACCTCCTGGTCTTACATTAATGCATAATATCCTCAACTATATATATATATGTATATATATATATTATACTATAATAATCTTTAATTTTATTTCTTTTACCTCCTTTACTTACTTTATAACTTAATTTTGAATACGTTAAAAGAGAGTAATTTTTTCATATAAATCTTTTTTGTTCTTTTTTTTTATTTGGATACTTTTTTTGTTCCTGCCTTTATAAAAATTAAAATATAAATTTTCAGTTTTGTCCCCCATATATATACAAACACTCACACACACACACATATATATATATATATATTATTTTAAAACAAATAACATTACGGGAATGGATTTATTTCCTTATTTTTAATTATATTTTAACTATATATATATATATATGTGTGTGTGCATTATATGGATTCAAATTCCTATAATATATATGCGATGCATGGAATTTGTGTTTTTGAAAAACTTTCTATAGTTGTTTTGGTTTTATTTAATATTTGGTAGTAATCTAATATAAGCTTAGGATTGAGGAAGAAGAAGAAATTCATTTATAGAGTTCAATAGGATTGGGGAAGAAGAAGAAATTCATTTATAGGGTTCAATAGGATTGGGGAAGAAGAAGAAATTCATTTATAGGGTTCAATAGTTTTAGTTGAAAATATTATTATTATTAAGGGTGTTCAAAAAATTCGTAAACCAAAAAATCGGACCGGACCAGACTGAATTGGAACGGTTTGGACTAATTGTATAGCAATTTGGTCTGATCCTGGGGCCAAAATTATGAAACTGTAATTTTTCGGTTCGGTTCCGATTTAGGATCTTGCTGGACCAACCCAGACCGAACTGTTAGTATATTATATAATATATATGTATATCATTAACTAAACCTAAATCAAATAAAGTTCTCACATCCCCCTAAATTTTTGAATTTTAAAATTGACTTAACTTTTTATTTCTTTTGTTCTTTAAATTTCTTTTTAAAAAAAGTCAAATTAATTTCCCTTTTCTAATATATCTCAATTTTTTTTCCTTTCATTTCAAATATATTTCAATTTTCTTTCATTTTTTCTTCTTAAAATTCTTCTTTTTTCCATGTTATATCAATGTTAGTTAAATTTTTTATTTATTTTTTATTTTTTAACTTTTGTCCCCCTGAATTAAAATAAAATAAAAAGGAAATCAACTGAAACTGACAAACCGAACTGAACCAAACCGGTTTTTAACGGTTTTGTTTGGTTTGGTTCCATAAATATAATGGTTCGGTCTTGTTTCAAAAATATTGGAACCATTATAAATGATTTGGTCCCAAAAAACTCCTAATTCGGTCCAAATCAGACCATGTGCACCCCTAATTATTATATTCTATTGCATTGTTCTTTTATTTCGTTTTACAATTGTATCATGCTTACCGAGAGGAGAATGCAACAGAAAATGAGAAATTGCAAAGAATTGCAAGCAAAACTAATTTTATTTGCTATAAAATATAATAATAACCTCTTCAACTAAAACTAATTGAACCCTTAAAATTACAAGGTTTTATATAGAATTTCTTCCTCTCAATCCTAATCTTATATTAATTTATTACCAAATATTAAATAAAACTAAAACAGAAAAGCTGCTGAAAATTACTCACTCGAAATAAAAATAAAAAACCTACTCAAAAAGTTTCTCGAAAACATAAATAGTTTTTTATAAGTTTTTTATTTTATCTCCTCACTTAATCAATGTACATGTATAATATATATATATATATATATATAAAAGTTGCTATATATAGCACAGATATATACCCAAAATATAATTAAAAATAAAATAAAATAATCCATTCCCGTTACTTGTTTGGCAATCAAAAAAGAAAAATATATATATATTTCCGTATGTACATTAAATATACTCAAATTAAAAGTAACTATAAAAAACTTTTTCTCGAGATGAAATTGAGGAGATGAGACTAAAAAGGAAAAGATAAGAAAATATTAAAAGACAATTTTATCTTAAAAGTTTATATTTTTAATTTTCATAACCTTATCAAAAAAAAATTATATTTTTAATTTTCATAAAGACGTGAGGCATTCAATAAGGAGAAGGACGGATGGAAACATCCTTTCATATCAAAAAGGGTGATTGTGTAATTTGGAAAAAAAAAAAAAAAAAAAAAAAATTTACCACCGCCTCCCTTTATCTTTATTGATTATCATCTTTTTCTCAAGTTCATGGGTTATATATATATATATAAAGTTTTTTAATATTCACATGTTGTGTGACACAAGTCATTTTATGTAACAGTTTTTGTTTGTTGAATTGTAGAAGATTTCAGTAATCCAAGTACTGTTTTTGTAGTTTTGTGATGCTAATGAAATAGACTTGGAAAAGGTAAATAATTACAATTTGCTGCAGAGTGAAGCCAAATTTATTTCACTCCTTTATTCATGCACTCATTATTTTGTGCAGACTGGACAACCTAAAAAGTGCTTTAGGTTTGGATCCACCCTGTTTATGCATTGTTTGGTAGGGAGAGAAGAGGGCAAGAAAATTGATGGAGGGGAGAGGAACTTTAGAGGGAAAGAGGACTTGAAAGGAAGGGATGATGAATTGATGATAGAAATTGGATGGTGGGTTTATTTTTCAAAAAAAAAAAAAAAAAATAGAAGACGGATTAGAAAGGGTATATTTGGTACCCGATTTGTTTTTTATGTTGTGTTTTAATCCAAAATAAAAATAAGTATTTTGAATGATAATCGAAACTTTGTTTCGTTTAAAAAAATAAACGGTACAGAAACATACAAAATATCAAATTGGTGTTTCAATTTTTGACCACTATTCACGAAACGTTTTGATACCGTTTTTCTTATTTTTCATCGACAAAAGCCAAACACGTACTAAACAAACCCAAAGCTATTTAGTTTTAGTTTTTAGAAAATAATTTTTAAAATTTTCAATTAAAAAGATTTATTTTTAGAAAATTGTAAAAATATATATTTTTTTCCTCCTAAATTATTGAGAAATATTTTCTCATTCTTTCTTGGTTTATTTTTTTTTATCTTATTTGTACACCTTCTAACAAATTTATTGTTGTTAAATGTGACGTTCAAATCATGCAACGTCATACTTCTACTCCTTTTTTTCTTCTTTTGTTCTCTTTATTCTACCAAATTATATGAGAAAATAACTCTTATTTTTTTTAGGATTCTTCTTCCATCAATTTGATCTTTTCTTTCAATTCTATTTTCATCTTCGGTACGAAACTAAACAACATAAATGTTTTTTTAATAGAGTGCTATAATTAAACTTTTGAAAATTGTTTCCTACTTTGTCTACTAATCTTATCTTCTTTGTCATCTTTCATTTAATTCTTGTCGTGTGAAAGTATTTTCAAAAATATATAAATAAAAAAACCCTAATAAATGAGCCCACTTCCAGAAAATATGAACTTCCATTTGTTATAATCTACGAATCTAAGAGGTGAAGTGTCTAAAAAGAAAATTCCAATATGGTCCCCATGCCACCCTTGTTAATTGCCTTGGAGAAGGCTTTTATTTTATTTTTTTAATATCTGAGGCGTTGGGTTCTTTGTTCCAACTAATTTACGAGACTCGTACAAGCCATCTCTCACACATAAAGATCTGGAAAATGAGACGTAACTCCTTAAAAATTATTTGTATTTAGAATAAATTGATTCTGAAACCAATTACCTAAGGAGACACTTGGACCTAGGTTTTTTCTAATTAGGCGTTGCCTCAGAGAAGTTTACCATTCCAACTAGATTTTATTTTTTATTTTTTATTTTGTGATCATGTAAAAAATCCCTAGAAAAATGAAGGCATTCTAAATTATAATTAGCTCTTTATGCCTCTTGTTTAATAATTTTCTAGTGACATAATTATGTCAAAAACTTTAAAAAGAAAAAAGAAAAGAAAAGAAAAAAAAGTAATCACTAACTATTGTAGCATCTAAAATGACTGCTTTTACACTTTATCGTGATCTAATATTCCTCTAATTCCTTATATATGAAGTTATGTAAATAACAAAAGTACAAGTCAAAGCCATTGAGGTAAAAGTCTTATTCCGAAGAACATAAATTCCAATCAGTGCATTTTTTTTCACGCAATTTTTGTTTTTGTTTTTGTTTTTTAAATAGCAAATAAAGCATTCACAAGGATTCCAACCACATCCTACAAATATATTTTTTTTTCCAAATCCGCCCTACCATCTTGCCCACTTCCCATTAGACTCGAGACGGGTTTGGAGTATCTGGTATGCATAATCCTTTACAGAAATAATTCAAATTTGAACAAATTAAAAATAAAATTTGTAAAAAAAAGAAAAGAAAAGTATTGTAAAATATTTAACAATTCAAATATAAAAAATATTGTTAATATTCAAAATTATCATAAGAAATAAAGAAAAATAAAACCTATAGATAATTATATAAAAAAAAAAATTATTTATATATTTATTAGTAATTGTAACGGGTTTGGAGCCCGTCCGATTTTAAAATCCACTTTTAATCTTAGCAAGATGATTTCAAATCTATGTAAATTTTTTTTGAAACATATATACTAATTAGCTACAACTTTTAGTGGTTTTCGTTCAAACTTAAATTCTCAACAAATTCATTAAACAAAATCAGAATGAGTTGAATATATACGTGTGTGTGGGTGTGGCGACCTTATGGGCGGATATGTGTGAGCGTGAGCAAATAGTACCAGTAGGTTATCACACTGCGCGAGTTATTTGTGCACAATCCCACATCATCTGGATGTGGAAGGGGCAAGTGTTATATGTAGATTCAATACCCTTCTATGACACAACGCGTTTTAAAAACCGTGATGACTGTGAACCCAACAAAACTTCAGAGTTAAGCGTGCTTAACTTGGAGTAGTACTATGATGGGTGACTCCATAGAAAGTCCCTGGTCCGGAAGAGCCAAGAATAGATAATATTGTATCTGGCTAGGGTGAAGATCATTACAAATTGTATAAGAGTCTGACCCAGCCGAAAATGTGGTCAACGAGGACATTAGGCCCCAAAGGGAGATGATTGTGGCGACCTTGTG